CTTACAAGTTGTGAATGAATCAGTTATTCAGGTGCCTGCCTCTTACTGACATTTGGTGTAATAGCTTAAGGGGGTTTTGCAAATGTAACAGATTTTGAAGGAAACCCAAGAAGTACATAAAGTAGCACACTCACAGACAGTCACACAGTGAAGTGGCAGGTCCACCTCTGCTGCACTGAGGAGGATTTTAGGGTTACAGGCTTATCAGGCAATGGATGTCCAACATACAAATGGTTAGATTTTATGTGATTTTTAACTGTGAGAACTATAATGACCTTAAGTGTCCATGGAATGCTCATTTCCAGTCATCTATTGTTTAATATTGGGTAGCTCTAGATTAGCTTTACACCCATCATAACTCCAAATAGTCTGTAATTATTTCAGAACGATAAAACCAAAGAGCCTCTTCCTAAAAACACGTTTGTGAACATGCACAACTCCTGCTGCCGGTGTTGTGTCAAAATCTGTTTCCCCATTGAGATGTACGGTATTTTCCATAACCTGAATCCTAAACATTATCTTAACCACAACCACTGAGAGGGTTGCTACATGAATCCGAGTTTTGAACAGAAGAAACACATCTTGACGGGGGACTAAAAAACACTGACAAATAAGCTAAGTTTTCGACAGTGACAATACCTCAACTCCTAGCGTAGCATCGACAACAGCATTATGGATCATTAATCCACTCATTAACCAGCATCACATCACATGTGGCAGACACACTGGCATCAAGCAGTCAAACCAAAAAGGTACTGGGGGGAATCCAATGTTTATGAGCTGATCATTCACCACCCCAGGGTGCTTCACTGGCCAGCTGCTTGTAGGTTAGAACTGGTCAGGTAAAACAGCAAGTCCCTGTACAGAAACATTCCCGGACATGCAGTAACCTCAGGCCCTCTATTTTCCTCCACATCCTCTGGTCACAATGCATAAGCATAAGCATATTGCCAAGTCTTGTCAAAAATACAAGAAATGTGACTTAAGCCCAATGACTCTGATGTCCACAACCATATAAAAACAGAATGAAACCAAAACTACAAGAAAAAAACAGACAAAAATGTACACACATACATATATTAAAAGAGCTACTGTAGCTAATGTACATCTGTACAATGTTGCACCACGATGTACAGTATATAGCATCCTACCATACCCTTAAACACAGACTAACTGTTCATAAGTGTGATGGCCCGGGGATGTAACAGTCTTTGTGTCTGGTTGTCTTGGCGTACAGTGACCTGTAGCGCTGTCCAGAGGGGTCTGTGAGGGTCTTCAGAAACCTTCTCTGATTTATTCTGCAGCCTTGACTGTGCACTGGAGTCAACGTAAACGTATTTTTAGGAAGAGGCTCTTTGGTTTTATCGTTCTGAAATAATTACAGACTATTTGGAGTTAGGCTCCTGTCCTGTTTGGTTGCTGAACCAAACCAGACAGTGATGGGAGAACAGAGAACATGATTCTTCTGTATAACTGTATCAGCAGCTCCTGGGGCAGGTTGAGCTTCCTGAGCTGACACAGGAAGTACATCCACTGCTCTGCCTTCTTGGTGATGGTGTTGATGTTGGACATTCACTTCACGTCGTAAGAGATTGTGGAGCCCAGGAACTTGTAGGACTCCATGACTGAAACATTGCTGCTCAATATAGTGAGCGGAGATGGGGTGGGGGAGCTCCTCCTAAAATCCACTATTATTTACATTGTTTTCAAGGTGTTCAGCTCCAGGTCGTTACGACCACACCGCAGGGCCAGCTGTTCAACCTCCTGTCTGTAAGCCGATTCATCACCATCTTGGATGAGGCCAATGACTGTTGTGTTGTCTGCGAACTTCAGGATTTTTTTACAGAGTCTTCTGAGATGCAGCCATTGGTATAAAGGCAGAACAACAGTGGGGAGAGCACACATCCCTGAGGGGCACCTGTACTGATTGACCGGGTGCTGGACGTGGTTTTCCCCAGTCTCACCTGCTGCTTTCTGTCTGTCAGAAAGCTGGTGATCTACTGACAGGTGGAGACAGACACAGTGAGCTGGGTTAGTTTAGAGTAGAGGATGTCTGGAATGATGGTATTGAATGCCGAACTTAAGTCCACAAATACGATCTGAGCATAGGCCCCTGGTGAGTCGAGATGCTGCAGGATGTAATACAGTGCCATATTGACTGCATCATCTATTGACCTATTTGCTCGATAGGCAAATTGCAGGGAATCCAGCCGGGGGTCCATGATGGCCTTCAGGTGGGCCAATACCAGTTTCTGAAAACACTTCATGACTACAGATGTCAGAGTGACAGGTCTGTAGTCATTCAGTTCCTTGATGGAGGGTTTCTTGGGAACTGGGATGATGGTGGAACATTTAAAGGAGGAGGGAACTACACAAAGTTCCAGTGATCTATTGAAGATCTGTGTGAAAATGGGAACCAACTGGCTGGGACAGACTTTCGGGCAGGAGGGAGTCACATTGTCTGGGCCTGGTGCCTTTCTGATTTTTTGCTTTTAAAAATGCTACACACATATTTTTCACAGACCCTCAGACAGCAGGAGGTAAAATATATCCAAATGAAGTGTGCAGTCAAAAAAAATCAGCTTTTAAATGTTACTGGCTGCACGTTCATGTGGCAAGCTCACATGAACGTGCAGCTGCCTGGAGATTATGACCATTGAAAGAAATCCTTAAACTACTGTATATTGTTAGAAAAAAAGTCTCACGAATGTGAGTTTGTGAGACTTGTGAGACTTCTGCATAGATGTACCAGAACATACGTACACCAAATTTTTTTGAGCTTTAGGTCATGTCTAAGATGATAATTCACTGTTGTAATATTGTAGATAAGTCAGAAAACAAGGAAAAGCAAGCCATGGCTCTTTAAGTTTTCTAAACTTTCTCGATGTTACTCACTGACCTTTTCTATAGTAAGTTAGGATGGCTGATACCATGGAGTGCCCTTTAGAGTGTCATTTTCACCAAAATGACCATAAAAGTCTGAAGATATACTGTATGACCCAGATATCTCTGCCTCCAGCTCAATATAATGTTGGAGAATGGAACTGTGTCTGCAACGTTCACTGCACTGAAAGCAAAATAAAAAGTCATCAGCAAAGTGTCTTTCCAGAAACCGTGTCACTGTTAATCTTGATTATGCACTGGTCATGCTGTCACTCTTTTCACTTACTTCTTTTCTGTGAAGCTACTTCCCAAACCCCTAACACCTACTCACAGTGAGGTCAGTGGATTATCTAGCATAATTGGGGCACTATTTCTGGAAACATATATTAGTGTTTTAAATGGATTTTTTTCTTTGCTGTGAGCGCTACAGATGAAATTCCATTTGCCTCCATTGTTTTGGGGTAAAGGCAGAAATCCAAGGCAAAGAAATCCAAATCTCTGGATATGACTTAAAACAGAATATTGATTAAATACAAGAATTTAAGAAATTATGTTCTTGAATTTACATGTACAGTATTTGCATGGAAATACTAAGATGTAATAAATAATGTATGAACTATTTAATATCCAATTAATCTGGGATTTGGATTATTCTGACTGTTATTTGCATTGGCAGCACACTTGTTGGAAACTTCATTCAGATTAAAGAATTACAAATAACTAAAATTAACCAGTACTACTGTAAATAGTTCATTACCTCATTACCTGCCCAACTATTTCATCCTTAACTTTTCCTGGATTTATGATGTATAATATAATGTATATTTGCATACAACATATCAGGCTTAGTCTTCCATTTATAGAATGAATTTCACACTATCTTGTTAAGAACCTTGTTGTCTCAAATTAGTGATGCCTTCTTAAATTTCTGTCATGTAATGCCAAACCTATTCTTAGACAGCTGTTACCTCATGTTGGCTGGTAGTTGTGCTTTCCCAGCCAGTGAACATGAAAAGAAGGCTCCCTAGTATCAAACAGCCAAGGCCCACTGTTGACAAGTGGAGTGATTAAGCCATTAGCCGGGTGAGTGGAGACATACAGCATATCAGCATTGGCCATTTTAAATGGATGGCATCTCTTTGAAGAGAATATGATTTCAGTATAACTGTAAAAATGTATGCATAAGCACAGACAGATTTGCACATGCACATTCACATGCACATACATTACAATCCCAAGAGCTTACTGATGCAAACACAAAAATTCACATTACACACAAGTTACATTAATTTATGTACTGTTGGTGCACAAAAAAAACATATATGAATGTGCCTGGCGTATGAGTGTCTCCAGCTGTATAACATCTGTACCTCTGTATACTAGACACACACACACACACACACACAGAACAGTCAAAAAAGCTATTGAATGTGCTTACATGCCAAAGACTCACTAATATGTGAACCATTCCATAAATGGCACATCATCTTGCTACTTCATGTCAGGAAAAGAAGCACAGAGGTGACACACAACCACATACGCAGTCTTTGTGCTTTTAAACACTTTGATGCTGGGCTTATTTAGCCCTTGCTGTAAATGGTTCCTGCCTGAAATGGGAATGCAGGGTCAGTGCCAACAGCTGTTGGCTTGGCTAGGTTTGACTGCCATGCTTCATTATCACAGTTGGAGACAAGCATAAGAGCCAACAGTTGTTGGAATTTTAGCCTGTGTCAAGTGAAAATTTCAGATTTCTCATGGTTTAAGGTTGGTCATAAATTCTGATGCATGTTGGTCTTGCATTACTACTGTATGCCAGCATATATTCTAGGGATAAATGCCATGGCCCACAGACTATGTATGTAGTGTGTGTGTCACTGTACTAACACTATTTAAACCGTGAAACACATCACACTGTCAGAGCTATGAAGAATGGTACTGTTAACAACAACAGCACATTGGCTTGCTGGTTGGCATATAAACCAGAAACAGACATCATTAAATTTGGCATTTGGTACCTCTTCTGTCATTTGTGCATTTGGCTTTTGGTATGTCCTCAGCTCACTGGCTGTATTTTTAATCATTTCCTTTTTGACTGCTCTCTCTATCTGTTGTTTCAGTATTGGACAGATATTTACCTCACATGGAACCCAGAGAGCTACCCCGGGGTTCAGAACCTTCGCTTCCCTTCCAATCTGATATGGGTCCCAGATATACTCCTCTACAACAGGTACAGATAGTCTCACATTTTCCTGTTCTGCTTTTTCTTCTCTCACCCTGTCTCCTTGTTGAATGACATAAAAAACAGCCCTAGTCATTTGTACCTTCTCTGGCTTCTGTAATTTTTAGAAGTTTTAGATTTTATTGAATAGAACCACATTTGTACATCTGTTCAGCACTACTGTGAAATCACAGCTCATCCTAATTTGAGACTTATGGGATATTATGGGATCCCTTAACATTGTTACTCTACATTTACAATATTGTGATGATGATGACTGAAAAGGGTTTAAAACAAACCCCCCCCCCCCCCTAAAAAAAATACATGACCTAGACTCTGTAAGTTCTGGCCCGGATCTGTTAAAACATACCTGGACAAGTCCCATGAGCCTGGCACACACTGTTTTGATTCTGTTGACTGACTGTGACATCCACCGCCCACTCTTCAGTGCACTCAACCTGTACCCAGGCCTGTCTGGAATGGGGCAGTAAACCTTACAGACGAACAACAAATGAAAGGAAAACCTGAAAAAATGAGTGGTCTCTACTAGGATGACAATATCCCCATCACTAGAGCACAAGGGGTCACTGAATGGTTTGATGATGATGAAAGCGATGTGAATCATATGCTATGGGCTTCACAGTCACCAGATCTCATCCAAGTTGAACACCTATGGGAGATGTTGGAGTGGCATGTTAGACAGCATCTCCACCACCTTCATCAAAACACCAAATGAGGGAATATCTTTTGGAAGAATGGTGTTCATCCCTCCAGTAAGGTTCAGGGACTTGGCGAGTCAAGGTCAGGATGCACTGAAGCTGTACTGGTGGCACGTAGCAGCCCAGTGCTTTACTGAGAAATCTTATGTTGGTTTTTTTTCATTTGTTACCTGCCTGTATGTGACTATAATGTGGAACTGCTGGTTAAGAGCTGCAATTTGGAAAGTGACTAATGAAATAAGCTACAAACCTCCAAACTATTATTTTCATTAATGGGAATCCTGACACTATCTTCTTTAATAGTCACTTGTCTGTAAACAGAATAGTGAAATATGCCCATTATAATTTTAATGATGCCTTCATGTTCTTCTTCTTTTTCAAACCTAAAGTCAAAAACCCATAGGTATTCAGTTTACTATTGTTTTACTATTATGTGTTACAATTATGTGTTACTATTGTATGTGACAGAGAAAAACATCAGATTTTCACTCTTGAGAAGCAGCAAATATTTAGCAGTTTGAAAAAACTGTGACCTGTAGTTTAGAAATATTTGTGTTCAAAATGTTAACATTCACAGGAAAATGTTACACAGGAAAGTTCAAGATATATCAAAATGCAGTCACACACTATCTTTGTGGGATTTGTGGGGTCGATATCAAAGGCCGTTTGCCAAATTTTTTATAAGCACCATCATTTCCCTCACTTGCATCTTTTCCTTGCATCTTACTCCTGCCGACATGCATGTAAGATGTGAGCAAAACATGCGAGTAGAGAAGATTTGAAGAAATATGTTTTAGCTGACATGAGACATCCCCTTCCTGCTATCCTTGAAGTGTCCC